GCGGATTCCGGCTAGTAAAGCTTCATATTCTGCCTCATTGTTTGAGGCCTGAAAACTGAAGCGTAAAGCATACTCGTACCTTTCGCCCTCTGGCGACTGACATATGACGCCTGCTCCACAACCATTTGAAGTAGAGCTTCCATCCACATATACCTTTCAGACTTGGTCTGTAACTTGAGAGTCCGGAGGACGAGTCATCTCAACAATAAAGTCAGCAAAGGCTTGCCCCTTCACTGCTTTTCTAGGCTCGAAAGTAACTTCGAGGCTCTGTATTTCTATGGCCCATTTGATCATTCGGCCTGACGACTCCATGATGGTCAGTGGCCGCTTGATAGGTTGGTCTGTATACACGACGACTGCATGTGCCAAAAAGTAGGGCTTCAATTTTTTAACAGTCATGAAGAGTGCAAGACCAAATTTCTCCACTAAGGGATACCTCAACTCGGCATTTTTCAGTACATGACTGACAAAGTAGACCGGGAGCTGACAGTCGTCTCTTTCAGCAAGGAGAACAGCGCTTAACGCATGATCAGAGACGGCCAGGTACATGTAGAGTACTTCTTTGGGAAAAGGGCTGACCAGCCTCGGCAAGGAATGCAAGTGAACTTTCAATTTCTGGAAGGCCGCCTCAGCATCCGCCCCCCATTCAAACCTTGCCTTTTTCTTAATTGCCTGGAAAAAGTATAGGCATTTGTCGCCTGATCGGCTTAGAAATCTTCCCAAGGCCGCCAGACAACCTGTTAACTTCTGAACCTCTCGGATGGTACGAGGCGACTACATGTCAATGACCGCCTGCACCTTCTCAGGGTTCGCCTCTATTCCTCTCTGATTGATAAGGAATCCAAGAAATTTCCCAGACTCAACTCCAAAGACACATTTCTTGGGATTGAGCATGACATGGTGCCGCCTGAGTGTGGCGAAAGTTTCTCGGAGGTCCGACAGATGATCTTTCAGAAGTTTAGACTTGACAATCATATCATCAATATATACCTCGACATTTCTCCCAATTTGATCAAAGAACACAGTGTTTATCATTCGCTGGAAAGTGGCCGGGGCATTCTTAAGACCAAACGGCATGACCGTGTAACAGTATAACCCCTGATCAGTGACGAAGGCCGTCTTCTCCTGATCTTTCTTCCATAAAGGAATTTGATGGAAACCAGAGTAGGTGTCCATAAAGCTCATCAAAGCATGGCCGGCTGTTGAGTCGACTAGGTTATCAATTTTAGGCAGAGGGTAACTGTCTTTGGGGCACGCCTTGTTTAAGTCTGTGTAGTCTACACACATTCGCCAGGTGACAATCGGCTTTTTAACAAGCACCACATTTGCAACCCAGTCTGGGAAGTAACATTGCCGAATGAACCCTGCATCAAGTAATTTTTTAACTTCGGCGGCTGCCGCCTGACTTCTTTCTTCGCCACGGTTCCGCTTCTTCTGCCGTACCGGCTTCTTTTTCGGATCCACGGCCAGTTTATGTACCGCCAGATCAGGACTAATGCCTGGCATTTCATGGACTTCGAATGCAAAGATGTCCTTGTATTCTTTCAATAGTTTGTGAAAGTCGTCACCCAGGACTCTCAGAGCAGTCGTCCCAACTTTGACTGTTCGCTCAGGACGTGAATCGTCTAAGATCAAGTCCGTATGCTCACCAGCCGGCTGAGGGCGGAATTCATCCGACCGCTTCTCTGCCAATGATTGCTATTTTCTGTCTTTTCTTGCGGCCCCTGTCTGGGATGCCTTTCTCTTCTTGCCGCCTGCTTCTTGAACAGGCGCACTCTCCTTGACATTGTCAAGGTCTATTTTTCCACCACTCGACCCAGTGGCCATAACAGTGGGCTTGACATCCGAGAGATAGCACTCTCGGGCCATCCTCTAATCTCCCCTTAGGGACCCGACTGTTCCATTATCCCTCTCAAACTTGAGCAACATAAGAGATGGGATTATAACAGCCTTGGAATTATTCAGGGTTGGTTGTCCCAGAATCATGTTGTAGGCCGAGAGTTCTTTTACTACCAGGAACCGGACTACCATGTGTCGTCCTTCCCCTTTTTCGCCCAGGCGGATGGGTAAATCCACTCGTCCCACTGGGTGGACGACTCCTCCTCCAAACCCTACTAAAGGGTGGGATGCCGGATGTATGCAATCAGTCTGATATTTTAGTTTCGACAGACATTTGCTACTGATGAGATCTGAGGAGCATCCAGTATCTATGAGGATTCGGCCAACTCTCTGGTTGGCCACTTTACATTCAATAACGATAGGGTCGTCATGCGGCCCTCTTACCCCTCCTAGATCTTCTTCAGTGATGACAATCTCAGGAAATGAATATTTGGAGGGCCGTTCTTGGTGAACGGAATTTACAACTAACCGTCTGATATTGTCTTTGTTGCCCCTAATAGTGGGGCCGCCTCCTGAGAAGCCGCCTGCAATGGTGTAGACGACTGCATCATCTGTATCGGAGCTGTCGGCCTGTTGATTATTTTTGGTCGACTGCTTTTTTAAGGAAGTGTTCCTCGTAGATTTCTTGACATAAGTGTCAAGATCACCTTGCTCAGCCAGGCGGTCCAGATACCGCATGAGACTGATGCATTCATTGGTGTGATGACCAACATCTTCATGATAATCACAGAATTTTTCTTGGTTCCGGTTGTTTGCAGAACCCTTCATGGGGACCGGCTTCTCAATTGAGATCCGTCCCTTGATTTCCTTTATGATAAATTGGCTATCCTTGTTAAACGCATACTTTGGGGAGTATGGTTTGAATTCTTTTTTCTTTTTCTGGGCCGGCTGTTTAGAGGAATCAGCCGCCCAGACCTCTTTTCTCTTCTCGTCTTTGTTTGACGACTGCTTCTGTCGTCCTTATCTTTTGTCGGACCTTTTCCCGTCTGACTGTTTTACCGTACTACAAAGATCAGTCGCCTGTATATAGGCTTCCGCTTCAATCAAGGCCTCTTGAAGAGTCGCCACCCTCTTTCGGACCAAATCAAATTTGAAGGTCGACCCGTCTTTGAGACCTCTAAAAAAGTCAGTATAGGCTACTTCATCCGGTAACCCTTGAATCTGTATTCTCATCAGGTTAAACCGCCTGATGTAAGAACGAAGCCCCTCCTTCTCGCCCTGCTGAATTGTTCCTAAATCAAGGGTCGTCTTCTTCGCAGGGATGTTCATGGCGAAGTTGGAGGTGAATAAGTAAGCAAGCGTCTTGAAGTTATTTACACAACCAGTCGGCAGGTTGCCGAACCATTGTTGTGCGATTCCTTTGAGAGTCGCTGGGAAACACTTGCACCAAGTGGGATCATCCAACCCTTGAAGGTACATCAGGTTGGCGAATGCCATCAGATGGTCTTCTGGGTTAGTAGTGCCGTCATAGGCGCCTACTAATACATTTTTCACTTTGGCCGGCTGAGCGGCTTTAGTAATTTCCTTGGAGAAGGCCGACGGCTGTTCACCAAGTCTAAGCAACCGTAGCTGCCAGTCCATAGGTTGGACATTTTTTGCTGTATGTCCACCAAACGGAGGTGGCTGTAAAAAATATTGTTGTTGCGGTACAAATGGTAAGTTTGGTACCGCCTGGTCGCTATGAAAGCCGGACTGACGGGAGGTGCCGCCTGACTGACTCTCATGATACGACTGAGTATGCCTCATCGAGGTATTTCGCAGACTGTCTTGGAAGTTTGAAGTAGAGGCCGACTCTGACAATCGGCTACTCTTCTTCTGCTCTAGCAGTAGCCGAGCGTCTGTGTATGTTTTCCTCGACCCGTCCGCCTGAATATGACGAACAGGTTTCCTATTTCCTGGAGTAGGAAAACGGTATTTTGTTAAATCAAGGGCAGGTGGCTCCCACTTCCTAGATTTAGGATGAGGGGTCGCCTCTCGCCCTTGAACTGGTTTCCTCTTCAGTGAAGTGGAGGGTTTCTTAGCCGACTGCTCCTTGTCCAGAGCAGGCGGCTTCTTGTTGATCAACTCTTGAATTTCTCCCTTGAAGTCCCTCATGAAGGTCATGAGTTCGTTCCTTGTGATGGGAGCAGACCCATCAGTCGGCTGCTGCCAAACAGGCGGTGCGCCTGCTGGCCCGCTTCCAGTTTGAAGATGTTCCCGTTCCCTCCTTTCGGTATGACGGGTACGTCGGGCCCTTAGGGTCCCGTCTGAAGCTGTGTGAGGTGCAACTTCAAATTCATTCTCAGTATCGTGGTCCGACTGAACTAGAGGGTCGTCCAGGGGACGTCTCTCTTCAGGAGCCGGTACAAACGTGGATGCCATCTCATAAGTACTCTCCCCACAGACGGCGCCAAATGTTTCGGGGTTTTCTGATGTCCTGCGGGAGAGTTACAATTCCGAGACTGGAACCGGACGCCTGTACCAGCAAAACAAACGGATGCTCCGGATGATTGGAGATCCGCCTCCGACGATCAAGTTAGTACTTGATTAAGGAGTAATTAATGCGGAAATTAAAGTGATTGGGTCTCTCTAGGTGAGAGTGTTTAATGTGTGTAATCTGCGTTTTTTAGCGTAATCCCCCTTAATGAAGATTAAGGGAGGTATTTATAACCTCGGGAAACGTGTCAATCTAGGTTTAGGTTAACCTTGGGCTGATTGGGCTTCCCTCGGAAGTTGGGCCTAGGTGACCGGTTATCCCAGGTGTCATGGGAAGGACACGTGTCGTGTCGTAATTGGTCCATAGTGGACGGATCATTGCTTGACACGTGGCAGGCTCCTATTGGCCCATGTGACGGACACATGGCGGAACCTGATTGGTCCACTTGTCAGATGGTGATTGGTGGGGAAAAATCCCCTAATCAGTTTCAACTCATAGTTTCAAATTACATTTTAGTACTCATAAGAGAATGCTCTGTAAGATTACTGTTCTCTCTTAATTATTACCTTCAAATCAAATCAATTCAATAATAAGCTCATACAATATCCATAAATAATAACGTAAAAATATCTTATATTTTAGGGAAATTCTCATTGGTACTCTCCTAGTTTTAACTTTTGCCATTGGTAAACTACTTAATTTTTGACTTCTTAATGATACACCCCAGGTTTATGCTTATTAACCAACGTAATTAATATATTAATCAAACGTTCATAAACCTATAATTTTGAGGTTTATGTTTAAAAAAAAAGGAAAAAGACTAAACTACCCCCTTTTTAAAACCCTCCCCAAAACCCTTCCCCTTCAACTACTTTATTTAACCAAATTAAATCATCATTTATGTCGATTAGAGCTCTCTGAAGAAAACACTCCCCTGTTCCATTCAAAAAGATCATCTAAAACTAATTTCTAGGGTTTGTTGCAAGCTGAATTCGTGAATTGCGTCAAGATCCAAGGAAATTCAACTCTCTTATCAGGTAATTCATAACCCTTTTCTTGTTTTGTTTTTGAATTTCGATGTTATGGATGATGATTTCTAGTTAATTAATTGTTGTTTGATTGATGATTATGTTGAGAATTTATTGATAAAGCATGATGATGATAGAAAAATAGAATCTTTGTGGTTGGTTGATGATCTGAATTGTAAATGATGAAGTGTTGATTGATGATGTGAATTTTAAATGATGATGATGATGATGATAGAAAATTAGAATCTTTGATTGTTGTACTTATTTTTTTATTATGGATTGGTGCAGTTGTAAGAGTTTGGATGTTCTCTTGTTTTGTCGAATAGGTGACAGTAATGTGGTGTTCAGATTTCATTATATTGGAAAAGATATAGATATTAATTTGGATGTGGATACTTGTTGTCTGTTGGATTTGGTGATTGAATACGAGGATTGTGCTCTTAATTTAGTTCCTCCACTTGATCTCCTTAACCCCACCTTTTATTATCCTATAAAGAGAGACATTGGCCATTGTTAAATGATGGAGACTTGTTGAAAATGTTTAAGTGTTTCTCTAATGATGACATTATTCATATATGGGTTGGCACTACTACCAAGCCTAGTAAATTGTATAAGTATGTGTTAGAGTTTAGGAAATAAAAAATAATAATAATAAAAAAAAAAGACCTGGTAATGAACCACCACCACCAGTTTCTAACCCTGTGCAACCACAAGTTGGTTCTTTGCACCACCAAGGCAAACACCAACTTCTAATCCTATGCAACCACAACCATCCCAACCACGCCATTGACCAAACTTACACCTAGGAGGACAGTTGAGGAGTTTTCTGAGATGGCATCAGGTTCTAATGCTCAATCTCTTAATGAGATCAATGTGAATGAATATGATTATTACACTATGATTGATTATACTTGGGCAGATACGCAACATGAATATAATGAAAATATTGAGAAACAGTCTAGAGAGGAGTAAACTAAGGGTAGGAAAGAATTTGAAGCATTTGAAGCTAGTTTGAAAAAGGGAAAAGGCAAGAGTACGTAAGACCAAATCTACTGTTAAGTAGCCTATGGTTCCTAAATGAACTTACCTCCCTCACCTAAATCACCAAACACGGTCTTAAAAACTTTAACCCTTAGAAGGAGTCCAAGATTTTCTCCGACTATCACTATTCCTGCTGCCCCAGTTAGTAAGCCATCTGAACCCTCTTTATTCAGAAGAAGAATCCCTAAAAGCACATATATTAGGAAGGGTATATGGGTTGGTTATAAAAAAAAAAAAAAAAGGAGAAACAAGATGAGTGTAGTAGGGCAGCTGCCCATGCACCTGTGAGTAGAAAGATGAATTTTGTTGTTGATGATGGAGATGATCCAGATGATGGTGATGGTCCAGATGATGGAGATGATCTAGATGAGGGAGGTGATCCAGATGAGGGAGGTGATCCAGAAGTTGGGTATGATCCAGAAGATGGGTTTGACTCAGATGGGGAAGTGATACCATCTGGAGATGTTCTAGCTGATGAGTTGGAGGGTATTAGAAGAGTTCCTAAAGTGAGGGATAGCTGGAAACCTAGAAAATGATATGAATTCATAAATAATGACAATGATGATGACTACTTTGATAATTTATACAAAAATGGTGAGATGTATGAAGATAGGGAATTTGGCAAAATAAAACTAAGGCCATGGATGTTGTTCACTGACAAGGCACACTTCAAGGATACTCTCAAGCACTATGCTGTGCAGGAAGGTTTTGCTATCACAGTGGTATTTGCAGACAATAGGAGGTACACACTGCCATATACTCTTCAGAAGCCTATGAATGGAGGATAAATGCAAGCAAGTTGCCAGATGGAAGGACTTGTGCTATATATAAAATTGGCCTAAGTTTCACACATGCAGGGGGTTGGAAACTTATAATCCCATATGTTATGTGAAATGGGCATCTGAAAAGGTTATGGAAGACATTAGAGCTAACCCAGACATTCCAAGTAAAGCTTTGATAGAGCTTCTCTTTCTAAGATATGGTATTTATATGAAGCAATCAACTCTGTATAGATTGAAGAGTTATGTGATTAATGAGTTGTTTGGTGGACATGATGAATCTTATTCTAAGTTAGTTGCCACTTTATGCTAAAGTTATTATGCTTACTAATCCAGAATACAAGGCTTTTTGTGCTTGGTATGAATTACAAATTGTTGAGAAGCCTAGAATTTTTAGTAGCATTTTCATTTATTTCACTGGTCAATGGAAAGGCTTTCTAAGAGGGTGTAGGCATTTGATTGGTGTGGATGGAACACACCTAAAGGTAACTATGGAGGGATCTTACTCTTAGTAGTGGGGTTGGATTCCAATAATGAGATATACCCCATAGCTTATGCAATAGTTGGGGTAGAAGATAAGGAGAGTTGGTCTTTCTTCTTTTGAAATTTGTTGAATATTGTTAAAGGCTCTTTAAGGAAAGAATGGACTATCATTTCTGATAGACAAAAGGTAAACACTCTTACTTTCACTTTTAATTTTTATTTTCAAACATGCATTATTTTTTTACCTATACTATGTGTTGAATATTGTAGGGGGTTGATTTGGCACTTGAGCAATTATTGCCAGAAGCAAAAAGGAGATATTGTTGTAGGCATCTAAGCAGGAACTACAAGAAAGTGTTTCCTGGCCCTTTGATGTACATACTGTTTTGGAGGGCTAGTAATACCACGAGTGCCTTCACTTTACGAAAGGCTACGGAAAGGTTGAAGAAGGAAGCTGGGGAAGATGTGATGAAGTGGTTTGCAAATTTGGGAGATCAATCCAAGTGGACTAAGCACAAGTCTAACCCAAATGTTTGTAATGATGCAAACACTTCAAACTTTGTGGAAAACTTCAACTCCACTCTAGGAGTTGACAGATGTAGGCCAGTTTTAACATTGCTTGAACGTATGAAATACTTTTGTTTGTCATTTTAACTAGCTTAATATGAAAAGATAACCTTGATGCAATGTTAACAAAATGCAAGGATAAGAAGGGTATGCATGGTTAGGATTGCAGTCAGGCATGAAAATGGATTAAAATGGAAAGAAGATGATATCTGCCCTAAATTTGCAAAAATATTAAGGAAATTGGCAATGCAAGCTCATCATGTAAGGCTTTCAAGTCAAGACCAGGGGAATATGAGATCCATGAAGGAAAGTCACAGTTCCCTATATATGAGCCTTAACAGTAAGATCTGTTCTTGTGGGGCTTGGCAATTATCAGGGATACCCTGCAGACATGTAATAAGAGCACTGATAGATGCAAAATTAGACCCCATGACTATGTTAGCTCCTGGTTTTATGTGAAGACTTGTAGATAGATCTATAGTGTTCATATCAACCCTATTCTTAATACAGAAAAGTGGCTAGAAGATGACTCGCCTTAGCCTGTATTGCCTCCAAAAATGAAGAGATGGATTGCAGGCCTAGTAGGAATAGAAAGAGAGAAGAAGGAGGTGTGGAACTAGGAAAAAGGTCAAGGACAGTCAAATGCCAAAATTATGGATGTTTTGGGCACAATATGAGAACATGCAAAGGGGGTCTAACTGGAAAAGAGTTAAGAGCAATAGATGCGCTTGTTGTAATCAAGAATCTAAGAGTGAGAGATCAGTCTAATGTAACAAAGGCAGCTAGGGAAGCAGCAAAAGAAGTTGAGGCTGCCACCAACAAAGGGAAAGGGAAGCAGAATCAGTCCACTCGGAAGAAGGGAAAGCAATTTGATCAAAAGAAAGACAAAGAGCCTGCTTAGAAGAAAGGAAATCAACCTAAGCAGCCTGCTCAGAAAAGAGGAAGGAAAGGCAAAAACTCTGAAGCTGCAACACAGTTGAATGCTTCACAGCTACAATGTCAACCATTTTCTAAGTCTCAGACTCAGATGTGAAGAAAGTAATCAATAACATGGTTAACCGGTGGGAATAAATTAATATGCCACCGTTTAACCGGTGGCAATACTTTTACTTCTCTTTTTTTTTTTGTACTAAATCTAATTACCACCGGTTAACCAGTGGCAAAACATGGTTTTTTTTTCCTGCAATAATAATAATAATAATAATAATAATAATAATAATAATAATAATAATAATAATAATAATAATAATATAACATCAAAATCAATATAACAGAAGCAAAAGACAATAAAATATAATCACATTAAATTCAACAGTAAATTGTTTTTGTACAAAAAAAAAAAAAAAAAAAAAGAAAAAACAATGAATTATAATTAGACACTGAAATTCAAAGTTAAATTGTTATTGTACAATACAAAAATAATAAAAAAAAAAATTACAACATCAAAAATACTTTTCCAAAATCAAAGTCTTGAATCCTTGTTGCATCAATGAACACCTGTATCAATTAAAACCCATAAATTAAAAAAAAAAAACTCACAAAAAAATGCGAAAAAAACCCAGAAAACTCATGCATATGAACATAAACTCGTGAATTCAGAAATGAATGAAAGAGAAAGAGAAAGAGAAAAGGATGAACAAAAAAATGGCCTAATAAAACCCAGAAAATTCACGAACTCAAAATAATACAATAAAAAAGCCCAGTAATCTCCGAAAAAACCCAAAAATTTCGAAAATCAATTAACTCCAAAAATTTCGAAAATCAATTAAACCCAGAAAAAATTTCGAAGTCAATTAAACTCTGAAAATTTTCAAAAATCAATTAACCCCAATAAAATTTTGAAATCAATTAAACTCCGATACCTAGAAAAATCAATTTCGAAAATTAATTAAACACAAAAAAAAAATACAAAATTAATTAACCCCGGAGAATTCCAAAATCAATTAAACCCATCTATTTGAACAATACAAAAAAATTAAGTCATTTAACATAAATAATTAAACCCGAAAACCCTAACCTCGAATAATTAAACCCAGAAACATGTAATAAACTCGAATTTGACCTAAAAATAAGCGGAGGGTGTTGTTGTTGATGTCGGTCTTGGTGGCGGCGGTGGTTAGTGGCGGCAGTGGTGGTGAGCAGAAGACAGAAGAGAAGGCGGAGAAGAGAGGTCGGAGAGAGAGGACAGAGAAGAGAGGGGAAAGAAGAGGAGAGAGAGGACAGAGAAGAAAGGTCGTCGAAGAGAGAGGATGCCATAGAAGAGAGGTCGGAGAGAGAGGAGGAGAGAGGAGAAGGAGGAGGGAGGTCGTAAAGAGGATCCATTTAGGGTTATAGTTTATAAAGGGGGTGTTTTTTTTAAGCACTGGTTCAAACCGGTGGGATTATTATTTTTCCCACCGGTTCGGTTTGAACCGGTGCCAATACCTTTCCCTCAAAATCCCGCCTATTTTTCCCCATATTTTCCCCACCGGTTTTAAAAAGTGGTGGCCTTATTAGCTGGGTGCTAATTTTCATTTTCACCTAGTGTTAACTCTTAATTAGTCTTTGGGCATATCAGTAAGCTTATGCTACACTTTGAATTGGTTGTAATGAACCTGTTTTGAAGCAGTTAAACTCGATCAAGTTTTATTGAATTTCATATTTCTCAGTTTTGGAAAATGTATTAAAGAGTGCAGTAATTTAAATAGCAAAACTCATTCCTTTTCTTATTCAAATACTCATTAGGTAATACAATATACTCCATACATAAACTTAAAACACTGACATAACTTATTTTAGGGCAACTACCAGTACAATAACATACATTACAATAGCAATCCTAACAACCTTGTGGATATAAGCTACAAACTCTTCTGCCTTTTGTGTGAACTTTACAAACTCTTCTCTCATGACTTTCACATACGACGCTTCATCTAGATTAGAAAAACTAAGCTTCGTTTCCCTTATAATCTTGTCTTCAGCAACCCATAAGAACATACCACAATGCCTACACTTGTAATGGCCTCCCTGGATTGATATTGTGTCAGAAAAGCAAATATCAGCAACCCTAGCAGGAACACAGTTGCAGCATATGCGTCTAAACCACATGCCCCTGCCATTACCCCTATAAAACGAAGCCATGGATTTTGACCAAATGAAAACAAAAATGAAAGGAATGGGTGGTGAGAAGCAGGGGGTATTGCAGATTTTCAGTATATAAAGGGGGTAGAAATTTGTTGGAAATTGGAGGGATTATAAAAAAAAAAGGCAGGAAAGTTGGAGGGAAAAGTTTTAAAAGGGGGTAGTATAGTCTTTTTACTTTTTTTATTAACGTTTGATTAACATATTAATCAAGTTGGTTAATAAGCATAAACCTAGGTTGTATCATTAAGAAGTCAAAAATTAAGTGGTGTACACTAGGAAAAGTCAGAATCAGGGTGCCAATGAAAATTTCCCTATCTTTTATAATTAAAAAAAGCAAAAGTATACCTTGGTTAATGGATACTCGTAATCCCATATATCCAGCAATGAGCAAGCAAGCTGATTTTTTTTTTCCTTTTTTCCCTTCATTTGTTACAGAAGAAAAATGATATTAGGTTGAAATTTATAGGGAAACTATATTTCATACAAAGTATGATTTAATTACCGAGAATATAATTTCTTTTTCACCGAAAATAATTCAAGAGTTAAGAAGTTATAATCCAAAATTTTCATATTGTATTTGACTGATTGAGAAGGAGAAGATGAGAGGTTTTAACGGGAATTTGGCTAATTAAGAGTTAATGAAAATTTAAAGATGACTGGAATAGAAAAGGTTATACAAATTTTATGGGAAATTGCAAGATTGATGGCGTAAATATGGAAATCTTGAGCTTTGGAAAGTTAAATTTCTTCTATATTGAATGGTGCGTGATTACGTGAGAGAGAGCGTCATATATATATATATATATATATATATATAATTATAATTATAATTTTGGGCCCTCCAATTTATGAGGCCTTGTGCTAAAGGTCTATTTGCACATGCCTTAGCTGGCCTTGCACACGCGCGCGCGCACACATACGAAATCTCTAACAACTAACATTTCAAATAAGTAAGAAGAAAAATGCCATTAAATATTTAGAAATGCAAGTATTTTTATATACTTGTGATGTAATTGTGACAAGTTACATTGAAGAGTGAAGACACTTATTATAAGTAAAGTAGCCTAAGTAAATAATACACTTTGGATCAAAATCTAAGGGGGGCCAAGCTCGCCTTGCCCCTTAGAATATCTGCTACAGAATATAGGGCACTTACAAAAACCAGAGGGAGTATGGGTGTTAATTTCATCAATTTTTTACTTTTTTTCTCCAATTGACATTTTATATATTTTTGTCTATATTTCGTGCATTTCAAACACATTAACTAAATCAATCGGTCCTTATTAAGGGCTTGTTCACATTTACTGAACTGAAGTGAAATGATTGGAGCTGAACTGAACTTAACTGAACTTAGAGCTGAAATGAATATTTTATGTGAGAAAGAAATTAGGATCTTAACTAAACAAAACTAAAATGAACTGAAGTGAACTTATTACAACAGAACTGAACTGAACTGAAATTATGCTGAAATGAATATGCCCTAATTTCCTAAAAAAACTAACCCAAATCAATTTTAGTACCTACATTAGAATTGTGTGCTAGCATGGCAATTAGTAAATCTTAGTTTGTTAGGGAAATGGGCCTGGTTGAAACGAATTCATCTAGTCGGCCGGTGGGTTTAGGTCAACTAAGTGAGTAAGTGACTATTGAAATAGAGGTTAGGAGTAATTCAATTAATTTTTGGTTGGTTTGTAATCGAAACATGTTATATTTGGTTTTATATGACACAAACGGTTTGTAAACAGGTTAAGTAAGTTTTGATAGAAAAGATGGCCGAGTCTTAAACAATTCGGTATTTTGTTAAAAAAATATCAAGCTTCAAGAACTTCGATATCAACTAGGTCGTTGAGGTTGGTAACAAATAGTTTCCCATTTTGGTTTAGTAATAATAATATCAATACGCTATTAACTCGCAATCTACTTTATTTTGACACATCTAACCCCTTACAAAGATGATCCATGTATAGGTACTAAGACTTGATCTGCTACTAACCTAT